CTCCTGAGTGCCGACATTATTCTCTGTCCCAGGTGCGGCAGCAAGTGGAATGCACTTTCTGTTCTAATGGAACCCATGCTCGCCAGAGCTCGGGAAACTATTAGTAAACAACTCCATGCTGGTGTTACTATCCTTTGACAAGATGTAATCAAAAGGTCACAAGAGACCCTGCTCCACAGTGCAGCATTCAAGCATTGCTCAAGAGACACCAAATCCCACATGGTGACTGCGGTTTGAGCCCCCAACCAGGTCAGCCTGAACATGTTGGGCAACATGAGTGTCCCAGATCTGATGGGCTGAAGGAGGGGAACCAGAGGATCACAGCATGACCAAATCCTGTGGAGAGTGCTCCTCTCTCTCTCTCTCTTTATCTCTCATGTGATAGAGCACATGCTCTATCAGGAATAATTTTTTTCTTTTTAAACATCAAGACTTGGAGTCTGAGCATCTAAATGCGTGCCCTAGAACTGTTTGATCCTGGATAAGCCATTTAAATCCCCTGATTCCAGTATATGGAGGGTTACAAGAACTGCCTACAGAATTGTTGGAGGGAGGCAGACACAGTGTGTGTGCAAGGAGAGAAAGCAGGCGTTAGTACTTTAGTACACTTTAACAAATAGACACATGTAGGGTTGCTTTTCTGAAATTACTCTTATCTTTGATCTCTAAAACAGAAGAGCTGATGAATCTGACTTTCTGAAACCTAAACCCGGAAGGAAGGGATGGGGGAGACGTTAGTACCAGAGGAAATTTCAAAAATAAACAGCCTCAGTGCTTCTCATAAAAGCTCAGCTTCTGCCAAAGTGGTTATCCCAGAGTTACTTCTCCAGGAAATAGCGAGGAGTGGTGCCCAAGGGAAGAGGGGACAGCCCGGGGCGGTGCCACCTCGGTGACTGGCTTCTGTGCCAGGTCTGGCTGCAATTCCTTCCTGAGCTCTGGGAAACTCAATCATCCTCTTGGCCTGTGGTGTGGGGACTTGGGGGGACCAGTGCTTTCTGGAATAGTGGCAGTGGGAGAAGTGAAGAAATGCCCATGGACAGCCAAGGAAGTGTGCAGACATGCTAAGGAGGGTCAGATCAAAAGCCTGCCAGCACTTTCAGCCTTCGCTCCCAGAACCCCCTTAGCCTGCTCCTCCCTGTGGCAACTCTCATCAGCTCTCCAGTCCTGACCTTGCCCTCCGTGCCCTAAACACCAACTCTCTTTAAAGTCAGTATGTGCAGCCTGAGCCTGCCCTGTTTTCAGGCTGAGCTCAGCTAAGGCGATGCCTCCCAAGGATGTGGATCTTGGCTGCTAGAAAGCCAGGAGAGGCAGAATCTGAGTCATCGCCACCCTGCAGCTTAAAGTTCTCAGTCCTGTTCTGGAATGCCAGGCAGGAACCTGGGGAGAGCCCCCAACACCCACCACCACCACCATTACGCCATGAATCACCCAAACAAGTGAGGACTGGACCCCAGCAGATGCCGCCACCACATGGTGCCATGGCCACAAGGGCCCAGCTCTGCAAGCACCACAGGGAGAACACAAACGAGAGCTGCTGTGAGAGCTAGGTGAAGAATACGTCTCTCGTCCTCCTGGCCGGGATGCACCAGCGCTAGTGGAACTTCAGAGACCACTCTGGGGAAACTTTGGGGAACCTGTGGAAACCAAACGCAGCACACCCTTACCTCTGTGTGCTGCCCAGAGCTGGCAGCTCAAAGGTGAGGCACCTGGCAGGTGAGCTTCTGAAGGGCTGGGCAGGCTGGCTCTGTGGCATAGGGGTAATGCACTGCTCAAGAGAAGTGGATCCCATATGGCCACTCTGATTTCAATCCCCACCTGGTCAGCCTGAAACATGCATGTGAGATTCCAAGATCCGATGGGCTGGAGGACTCGAAGGGGACTGTGGTGTGGCCAGACCCTGGGAGGATGCTTCTCTCTCTCTCTCCTTCTCTCTGCCTATTTCACACTCATATGCATGTGCTCTATTACGAATGGAGAAGGAAAAAAAAAAATAAAGGGCTGGGTGCCAAAGTACCCTGTCTGTACCCCAAAATGCTGGGGCTGGCATTTTCCCAAATCGGTTCCCTCATTTCCCCTCAGGGTTATGCTCAGGCCTACCTGGCAAAGGATGTCTTTAATGTAACCGCCACACAGCTCATGTCCCTTCAGATCAAAATAGTCCATGATGTCCCAGTACCGGGCAGCGATGCGCTCATCTTTGTGCTGGTCACAGCAGCCGAAGGACTCATAGTCAGAGCAAAATTCAAGGTGCAAAGGGGGCTGGAAGGGAGGCCCATAATCCAGGCACTGGGGGTGTCCCTGCAGCAAGCCCACCTGACTCAAAAATGTGAGGCAGAGGCAGAAAATGGCAGAAGAGAGCCAGGGAACCCACCAATTTGGACCACCCAACAGTCTAGGAGTAGACTCTCTCAGCATTTCGGCCTTGAGAACACTCAGGCTGCTGTTTACTCAGGTTGGCTTCCCTGCTCCGCCCGAGTTCTCTCCCTTTCTTCCTTCCCACCACCCCACCCTTTTGCTCTTCTTTCCTTCTCCCGTCACCACCTTACCCCCAACCCCCGCCCAAGTTTACTGAGGTGTTTTCTGAGCAGTGTCCCCTCTGTGGACTTAGTAGTTAAGTGTTCCTGTGAACGCAGTAGGAGGTGTTTCTGTCCCCTCCAATCCTATCTAAACATGAAGCTGGCACAAGTCCCTACACCTAGTACTGAGTTATGGGGGTGCATGGTTGCTTAGCAAAAAGGTCCAATAGTGTCAAAGGCAGACATGCTGTGATTCATCAAAACTGCAGAGTCCCTGTGGTGTGTGGGGGAAGCCAGAAAATTCACACTGGTTTACTGTTTCCCCACAGCTGAGTAGCCAAGTTGCCGTGAGACCATCACATAGTATGTACTCCCAGACATCAGATTCCGTGGAAGGCAAGCTCCCAGTGTTCCACAGTGGTCTGGGAAGATGGAGCAGGGGATGGCGAGAGGCAGTATGCTGTACAGTTCCTGTGACCTGGATAGGTACCTACGTGGAATGGTAACAAGAAAGGATATTTCACAAATTTTGTATGCACAGCAGGAAGCAAGGAGAGGAGAGAGAGAAAGGAAAAGGAGAGTGGGGTGTCTTGGGCGGTTCATGCTGCTGTAACAAAATACCACAGACTGGGTAATTTTAAGTAACAGACATTTATTCTTACAGTTCTGGAGGTTGGGAAGTCCAAGATCAGGGCCCCATCAGGATCAGTTCTGGTGAGGGCCTTGTGCCTCACGAAGGGCACCTTGTTGATGTGTCCTCACATGGCTGAAGGGAAGGGGGGGAACAAATCCACTCCCTCAAGACCTTTTATAAGGGCCCTGATCTCATTTTTGAGGGCTCCTAATAACCCCACCTCTTAATACTAACACAATGGCAATTAAGTTTTGACATATTAATTTTGGGACACATTCAGAGTAGAGCACAAGGAGCGTGGCCCAGAGAAAACAGAGAGTCAACAAGGGCTGTGGATCATTTCATTAGGAAGTACGAGGGGTCTGGGCTCTTTATTTTTGCCAAATCTATACCTGCTTTAGGGGCACGCCTCCTTGCATAGTACATGTCCCAGCATTAGTACTTAGGAATGTGTTTTGCTTTTGAGCATGTCCCCTGCCATAACAAGTCTTCAGTAAGTATTTCTTGAATGAGTGGATGAGGAACAGAGAGTCCCAAATTCACACAACCCCAAACAGAAACAAAGGCACAAAAGCGGCATAAGTCCATGGCACACCTGGTACCTGAGTGCACTCTCCTCTCAATATTTTCCATGGTTCCAATATACCCTAAAATTGCCTTACTGGCAAAATCTTCCCTTTGAAATGTAGATCAAATCCAAGTTTCTTCTAATTCCAGCTATGCCTCTACGGAGAGCAAACTGCCTGGTTCTCCCCTTTGGTAGGAAGTCACTGAGAGTGGCACAGCAGTCACAAGCTGCTCAGTAATGCTGGCTCCATATAGATCATCAGTTCGGTTCCCTGGTCGACTTATACCTGCAGATGTGCCTGTCCGTGATTCTGGCTGGCTGGAAGACTGGGGAGAGGGAGAGACTGTGGTGTGAGACCCAGTTGAGGGTGCTTGACTCTCTGTCTCATTCTTGTAAAAGGAGAAAATAAACTTTAAAAAAATAATAATGGGAGCCAGCAGGTGGCTGGACTCCCACATGGCCGACCGTGGTTCGAGTCCTGCACCTGGTGGCTTGCTTTCTCATTTTCCTCCTCCTCTCTCTCATTCTGTCCCTCTCTGATCAAATTTTAAAAGATAAGTAAATAAATAAAAAGTTGCATATAATAATTCTTTTAAAAAATAATGAGTACTGATGTGTAGATCACTTTAAAGAAAAAAAGGGGCTGGGGGGGCAGTGATGTCAATCTAGCAAAGTCTGTACCCAGAATGCTCTGGATTATGAAAGCCCAAAACAGCATTTTAATGCAAAGGAAATATTAAAAACTAGGGGAAAAGCTAGGAGGAGGATGCCATCAGGATGGTTGCTTTCCTATTTCAAACTGTTCAGTATCCTAACCGGCTGGGTGTTGCTTTTTAGTCAAGGTACAGGATCCCTGATTCATTGATGACTAGGTTGTTTCCATTGGGTTGTTTGTTCCCAGGTCCCATAATGTCACTGCTCCAAAAGCCTTGGGCCGGAGGAGTAGCACTTGGACAAACTTCAACCAGTGAATTCATAGCCACTATTGCCTTCTCAGAAACAGGAGGTAACCATCTGACCCTAGGATATGTAGAAATGATCGCATTCTCTCATTCCTTGTAGAATCTGAGAGTATTTTTTTTATATTCTATTTCCTTTTTCCATAAAAAATATGAAGATAGAATTGGGGCCAAGAGTCATTCCAAGATTAGCAGGGGAAGATCCACTGGCAAGATCTCATTGGACACATGGCGATATGACTTTCTGATTACTGAACCATGTAACATTGCAGATCGGAATACATGACATTTCAGATTAATTACACAAAACATGATTATATAATAACTATGTAACCATTAATTTTATAGCAGATACCTCGGTGTCAATTCAATAAATATGTATTATTATATGCATGATGTTATGCTGGAAAAATGTTTAACAGAAAGTTGATGTATAAAGCAAACTTTTTCAAGGAGTTTATGCTATAAGAAAGGAAAAAGGTGTTCATGGCAGATTTTATTAGGATAACAGTAAGGGAAGAACAAACTGCCATAGGGATTCTAAGGGAAAGCAGCATCAGGCTGGAGGTGACTAACAAAATCTTAGCAGAGGCTGAAAGGGTTCTTAGGTAAGATATGGGTGAAAAAGAACAGAAAGCAAATTTGACTATGAAGTTTCTATGCCCTTTTACTAAGGACTCCAGTCTTTTTCAATGATGACCTCATTTTAGCATGATTTATCTCTGTAAAGACAATCTCTAAATAAGGCCACATTCTGAACTACTAGGGATTAAAACCTCAACAGTTCTTTTATAGGGGACACAATGCCATCTATAAGTAGCTTTATACACACACACACACACACACACACACACACACACACAATTTCATATAGCAAATGCCTTTTTAAAAGTGATGTTGTAGGGGCCAGCTGGTGGCGTGGTAGTTAAGGGCACTGAACTCCCACATGGCCAAGCGTGGTTCAAGTCCCAGACCTGGTGGCCTGCTTTCTCACTTACTCTCTTCCCCCCCCCTTTCTCTGGTTTAATTAAAATAAATAAATAAAATAAAATAAATTTAAATAAAATAATTGCTAAAAATAAAGTGATGTTATAGGCCAGCCCCCTGGCAGCCTCACATAGGGAGTCAGATCCTTCATGGTCAACTATGGTTCAATTCTTGGCCCCAGTAACTTGCAAAATATGATTAATCCTGTGTACATGCATGCCCCAAATCTTAATAGGATGGAGAAATGAAGGAAAAAGGACTTTGATGTGATGATATCCCAGTGAAGGGTGCTTTCCTTTCTCTGGCAAGCACATGCACTCTCTAGTTATTTTTTAAAATGATGTTGAGAAGCCCAGCCACATTAGCACAGCTGTAACACATTGCACTGTGATGCTGGACCCATATGGGAAGGTCCTGGGTTCACATCCTGAGCTCTCCAGGCTGGCTGAGGCTGTAGGTATCCTGAGGATTGAATTAGGATTGTTTTACTCTCTCAGAAGAAATGACCAAATGGACTTAAATGGAAAAAAAGTGACTCTAGAGCCAGCTGGTAGCATGGTGGTTAAGGTGCTGGACTGACACATGGCTGACCGTGGTTTGAGTCCCATGGCTCCTCAAGTGGCTTGCTTTCTTACTTTCCCCCTCTCTCTCTGTCTCTTTATGGTGAGTACATGTGCCTCTAAATAAATAATTCTTAAAAAAAAAAAAAAGTGACACTGAAAAGCTAGAGTCGTTTCTAATCCTAGGATCGGGTCATGAAACAGAATAGTAAACATATATAAAGAAATGTTCTAACTAGTAGTTTCTTATGTAGTTTACTGATTCTCTTATAAATCTCTGCCTTCACACTATCAATATCTCCACAATCTGAAAATGAACTGGTGTAGTTGAGATTAGGCCAAGTATAACTCTCTCACTTGCATTATACTATGCGTTACTTATCAAAGAATCTTCTCACATTACATTTCATTTGCTCTATGCAATTCTCTTAAAGTAAGGCAGATATTATATTGCCGGTGCAGACTAGTGAATTAAGTCTCAGGAAGGTTCAGTAAAATACTTAGGGTTCCCCTTTATATGAATGGGAAAAAATAGCAATAAAATTCAGGCGTTCTGAATTACAGCATAGACCTTTTTCATTTCATCATGATGTAGCTTTTGCTCATCCTTCATGAAGAAAACTCTGTGTTAGATCCAGTCTATAAAAGCACTTAGAGCAGGACCTGTAGTGAGCAGTTAAAATGATGTACACTGAAAGCCAGATTCAGCTAGTCCTGTAATCTAATGGTTAAAAGAGCAGTGGTTGGGACCAGCAGAAGGCATAATGGCACATTGCTGAACTCCCATGTAGTCTACTGAGGTTTGAGTCCCGGATCTGCAGCTTAAAACTCACACTGGGCACATGTGTGTGCTTACTCAAAATCCTGAAAGGAGAATAGAGGAAAAGAGACTGCGGCATGGCCATCCCACTAGAGGGTGATTTCTTGCTTTTGTATCTCTGTATCTCTCTGTCTCTCCAGCAAGTGCACATGCTCTTATAGCAAAAAATCTCTCCCTAAAATAAAAGAGTAGTAGTTAAGGAGGTTGGGGGGGGCTTATAACAGCTTTATTGAAATATAATTCACACCACACATGGCTGACCATGGTTTGAATCCTGGTCCCAGAAGCTTTAAAAACACACTGGGCATGTGTGTGTGTACATGCATGCCCCAAATCCTGATAGGATGGAAAAACAAAGAAAAGATTAAGGTATGACCATGCCCCACTGTGCTTTCTCCCTCTCTAGCAAACACACACACACTCTCTGACAACTAAAATAAAAAGAAAGCCAGATCCCACATGGATGACTGCAGTTCGAAGCATAGCCCTGGAGGCTTGTCCCAGTGATCAGGAGAATCCATAAATCCTATTTTGTAACTTTTACCTAAAGCTTTCAAGGAACACAGGCCCTGATTTTCACCTATGCTGTGAGATTTTGTCTACACTTCTTGGTCTTCTATTCCTACAGTATTGAACTTACGCAGAACTCTTACACAACTCTATCATGAACTCCCAGCAGTAAAGTTAGCAGTATTCATGAGGCGGCTTTAACCTGGTTTATTTGGTTCTGTAAGAATGCCTACTTATTTTATATCATAAGGCTGTATACTTCTTTATTGATAGATTTACCTTACTAAGTATAAAATAATACTAAAATAGAAATTCCTGACAAAGCATTAAGGAAACATTTGTTCCTTAATGTTTTTGCAGATGGTTTTAAATTAGTAGGAGTATATGCCAATGGGAAAAAAGTGTGGTTTGCCATCTAAACATCAGATTTTCTCTGTAGTGAGCCTTCATGGAATCCAATTACTAGTTACCTGAACAGTAAATGTATAAGAGCCAAGACATTCTGAAGAAGCACTTACTCTACCAATCATAACATGCTACAAAGCTCAGTTCATGTTGCAGGAAAGTTGTTACTGGCTTCTGATCATGCTTTCCCACTGGGTTTTCTGTGCCACTCTGGGACGCTATTTCCCTGGCAGAGATTCCTTAACTGTCCAGCTGCCTACTGTTGCATCCTGGTTTGCAAGAGAAAAGAGAGGTGCTACATGAGTTCTAAAGAACTTCTTAGACCTGTGCCAGGCAATATAAATGTTTTTAAAGTTAGGCGCGTGCCAACTGAAAGCAGGCCACATCCTCCACCTCTCTGGCCCAAATTAGTCCTCTAGAGTTGAGGGTTCCTCTCTAGACAAAGGTCACTTAGCCCCAGTTGCCATGTCTTACTAACAAAAGAGAATGAGAAATCCTTTTCTAAGTCCTCCTCTCTGAAATTCTTCAACAGAACTCATCACCAACATATTTTTTTCATGGTGGTAAGCCGAACATGGATCAATCAGAATCTAAAAGAAGACCATAGATTCATTGCGCAGAATTACAAATTACATTTTATTACATAATAATTAGAGAAAAATTATCCAGAAATAATAACTAGTTAGAGCAAATTCTCTAATTAAACAGATTTTATATTTGAAGAATTATCCTTTAATAAATGTTATATTTAACGTTATAAAAAAGGAAACATATACATGATATTTATAAATAGCAAAGGCAGTGGGATCATTTCTCTACCTATAAATGGTAATTAAAAAATACAAAAATAACTTTCTGGAGCTATATAAACCACCTTCTTAAAACAACAAATAAATACATTCATTAAACTATCTAATGTAGCCACCTCTAAATGACTAAAATTCAGTATCAGAGTCCTGGATTTACAATACTGTATTTTTTTACTGATTTCTTCATCCGCTTAATTTTCTTCTTCAAGACTTGATGATCTTGTTTTAAAATATATCGAAAATATCTACAACCTAAAAATAAAATGAATAAATAGAATTTTAATACTTACCATCAAAATTTTCAAGTATATGTCTACAATTTTAAAATTCTGCTTCAATTCTGGTATGCTAAAGATGAATAGAAACAAGACATTTCTGATCCATCATAATTAAATTTAACTTCTTTTCTACTCTTCCACCCATACCCCAGTTATGATAATATGCGTATTATATGTTATCAGGTATTAAAGGTACCTTTTCCAAAAGCAAATTACTATAGCTTTCTTTTCATCACTACCTTGGTAATTAGCCAAAGTGTCACGTAAAACATTAAGAAAGTTCTCTGTAGAAAACACCGATGTGAATAATTAGAATAAACATAGCACAGGGCGGAAGAGATCAAACATTACTCATTCTAGTCATCTAGCAAGCAGCTAGATGGAGATCACGTAGCTCTGACAATAGTGCCTCGAGCTTATCAGAATGCTCTTCACACTCACTGCAAAGAGGACCATCTGTTAAATATTTCAGGGAAATGACTCAAATTTGTGAGAAAAATGTAAACTGGATATTATAAGAAATTTTTACAATTGGTAAGTGAATGAGATCATATATCACATGTGAAAAATTAATTTCATGCTTGTCTCAATTCATATAGTTTCCCATTTTCTCTGGAAAAATGCTATGATATATACTATGATAGTTGAGTAAGCATTTTATCATCCCTGAAAATACTATGTCAGAATTATTGGCTAGGAAGCAGTGCTGTGTGTTACAAAAATAATTTGTGTTTCTAAATGTAATACACCACTTTAATAAAACCAAAATATTTTGTACATAGATTTATGCTTCTGCCTATAAAGTTGGAAAGAACTTTGTTCTCACCCTACCATAGAGAAAATAAAATCTGAATAAACTATAAATCAAGACTCTTCCTAAGTCAACTGTAAGCTAAAGTTCACAGAAGAACCAAGGAGCCAAATTCTGAGGAAAGACCACTTGAAGGAGAAATGGTCCTGGATTGCTTTTAGCAGAGCATGAGAATAGTCACTATGCTACACTCTGAGCAGAAAGCAACGGCTGAGGAGGACTAAGATTTGAATCCTATAATATAATGACTGGAACCAGAGCAAGCAGAAAACCAGCTTAACTCTTGAATAGACAGACAACCTCACCTGAACATCCTGACAAGAGGTGTGTCCACTTCAGCAATATGATGCCATAGTTCAAAAAAACTCTAAAATCCAAAATTAAGATATCTGGTCCTAAGCAATTAAGGTAAGGAATATTCATCCTGAATGGAGCTATTAAAGGGGGCTGGGCGGACCAGCAGTTGGCATAGTGGCTATGTCGCTGGAATCCCATGTAGTTGACCATGGTTCGAGTCCAGGTCCTGGTGGCTTAAACTCACGTTGGGCGCGTGTGCGTGCGTGCCCAAGATCCCGAGAGGAGAATGGAGGAGAAGGGATTGCGGCATGGCCATCACCCCTAGGGCGTGATTTCTTGCTTTGTCTCTCTGTCTCTCTCTGTCTTTCTGGTGAGTGCATGCACCCTATTGCTAAAATCTCTCAAAAAAAAATTTAAAAATAAAGGGGGCTAGGACCAGCAGATAGTGTAATGGTTATATTGCTGGACTCTCACATGGCCAACTGTGGTTCAGAGGTCCCAGACCTAGAGGCTTGAAACTCACACCAGGTGCATATGTGTATACATGCCCAAGATCCCGAGGAGAATGGAGGAGAAGGGATTGTGGTGTGGCCATTCCCCCTGGGGGTGATTTCTCACTTTGTTTCTCTGTCTCTTCCTAACTCTATGGTAAGCACACATGCCCTATAGCAAAAATCTCTCTAAAAAAAATAATAAATCAAGGGGGCCAATAAAGAATATTTTTAATTTAAAAGTACTCTGATGCAATGGTCACTTGATGTTTAGAATGATCATACAAGCAAATAAGGACAGGTACCACAGGTATTATGATGTCCTTTTCACAGAGGTTTCCCAAAGGTTAACTGGTTAGCCCAAGAGAATTAGAAAATTAACCCAGGCCTGCTCAAACACAGATACCTCTAGATAGTTCTATACTCATATAGTAGTAGAAAATAACAACCAAAATAGTATTCCTGTTCCTTGTCATCAGCATATTAAAGAGCAATTTTTAAATTATTTTTCTTTTTATTAATCCTTTTCCTTCTATAAAAGCAATATTTTACTAATTTTAGTAACTGTCCGAAACATTCCCTGAGAAGACTGATTCAAAAATAATTCCAAAAAAAAAAATACAAACTATATCCAAAAGTGAACTGAAGACATCTCTTTAGGACACCTTAAACTCCTTGGCAGCATGCAACTTACTAGAGTCACTGCAAAGTTTATTTTCTAGACATATTTTGTAGCAACTTCATTTCCATCCTGGCCACCTTTTCATATTTCAGCAGTACAAAGCAGGTGAAAGATTTATCAGCCGAAATATCCCATGAAGAAAAGATCAATTTTCTCTTTGAAGAGAATTTTTTGAAAGGTTAATAGATAGTATTATTTTTCTCAAAGGGAGAAACTTTTTCATCTTTACAGGAACAGATACATAAACATAATATAGGTTGAGCATCCCTAACCCCAAAATCTAAAAATCCAAAATGCCCCAAAATCCAAAATGTTCCAAAAATCCAAAACTATTTGAGCACCCAGGTGATTTCGAAGTCAAAAATTCTACACCTGACCTCATGTGATGGGTCACAGGCAATATGCTACAACACGAATATATTATAGAAACCTTCAGGCATGTATATAAGGTGTATACTGAAAATGTAAATGAATTCTGTGTTTAGACTTGAGACCCAAAATATCTAAATATGTACATGCAAATAAATATGTATATGCAAAAAAATCTGAAATTCAAAACATTTCAGATAAAGGATATTCAACCTGTATAGAGCAATCAAATAACAATGAAGCCAAATAATACTTTTGTACTTTTAATAAACAACCTCAGTAAACTTTCTATACAGCAAGGTCACATGGTTATTTACTATGAAAACATCCTGCATTGCGTTTCTTGACAACACTCAAGTAGAAAAACCAATCACAAACTAAGAAATCACTGTTTCTAATCCATGGGATTCCTTACAAAAACATCACTCGGGGACCAGCAGTTGGTGTAATGGCTATGTCACTGAACTCCCATGTAGCCAACCGTGGTTCGAGTCCCAGACCCGGTGACTTAAACTCACGCTGGGCGCGTGTGTGCGCGTGCCCAAGATCCCAAGAGGAGATTGGAGAAGTGACTGCGGCATGGTCGGGTCCCCCATGGGGGTGATTTCTCGCTTTCTGTCTCTCTCTGTCTTTCTGGCGAGCGCATGCACCCTATGGCAAAAACACCTCTCAAAAAAAAAAAAAAAATCATCACCTGGTCCCAGTTCAGGATTATTTCTTCCATTCAACAGTTATTTCTGAGGCATCTAGTAGCCTTAGATACCAAATTAGGTGAGCTCTAGGATGAATGAACAATCATTCTTTTATCACTGCAAAATCAGTCAAATGCTGTCAGGATTAGAACAAGTAAATAAAGTGTTGTTTTGTTGTTTTTTTGTTTTTTAAAAAAAGACACATACCTTTTCCTAAGAGTATTCCAGCTACAAAAGCTTTCTCACATGCCAAAGTTGTATCTTCTTTCCAATCACTTTTTGCCCAAAAGTAGCTGAAATGAAAGCTGGGCCACCAGTTTTTCCTAGAGTTCCACTCTTCCTGAACCCATGCTCGGTGGTCTCTGCAAAGAAAATTGTCAAAAGAGTAATTCGATGATGGGGAAAAATCCATGTCAGAATCTGACTTTCAGTAGAATCTGTGGAAGATGACAAGGAAGATGCTTCCAAATGAAATTGTGAGTATGGCCTAGGCTTAACACATGATCGGCAACAGCATGAAGGCAAATCCATTTTCATTTTCTTCACTCTCCACATCTCATCCTTGATTTCTAGTTAGTATGATATAGCTCAATAGTTAACAGCATAGACTCTGACGCCAGAATCCTGAATTCACATCTCAGATCTTGTACTTACTGACAGTATGATCCTGGGCAAGTTGCTTAACCTCTCTCAACTTCAGTATTCTTGGGGATATTAATGGTATCTTTCTCATAGCACTGTTACTAGTTATTAGGATTAAACTAGTCCAACAGTATGGCAGAAATCATACAAAGTTCTTTGCATGGTACACAGTAAATGTTCAATAAGTGTTCTCAATTATTATTACTTACAAGTTACTTTAAAACTTCACTAACAATTAATGCTGCCAAGAATTACTATCCAAATTAAGATGCCATTATTACACAAACACATGAATACACAAGATCAGACAGTTAAGCTCAGGCAATGCTACTGGTTCATCATAATCTTTTATTGTGTACATTTAAAGTATAGAACATGTTTTGATATTCGTATATGCAGTTAACTTTTCATGTGTATGGTGGGAGCATCTAAGATCTACTCTCTTGGTCAATTTCCTTAGTCAATATTGTATTCAATACCATTATTATTTATTAACTATAGTCCTCATGCTGTACCTTAGATGTTTCCAATTTAGTTGGGCAAACCTTACTTGACATCTGTGTGCCTCCTATGGTATACTTCCACAGTTTGAAAGAATGAATAGTACATTTCTCTGCCTTCCAAAACCTTACAGTGTAGTAGGTATATAGAGAACACTGTACAAAAAGTGTGTGAACATATCACACCAAAAACACTGTATAATCAGCACTATTCAGATCTCCAAAGTTAGATCTGAAGCCTGAAGCAAGTTCCAACTGATAATGAATATCCTAACCAACTAAAATAAATGTAATAAATAAATAAAATTTAAACTTGTGATATCCTTTCTTCTTATACACTAGTAAAAATAATAAGAGCCACTTACTTCTTTTTATTCAAATTGTGACACTAAGGATATTATGGATAATAACATATATATATATTAACAGTATATATTATCAGAGGTATAGTTTAAGATACCCACCTCACAATATACTTATTGAATGAATAATCTATGGTGATCTTCTTGGATCCTAAAAACCCCCACTGAAAATGACTGTAAACAGCCAGAAGGAAAGCTGTTTCCCATAATCTTAGAAGATAAGGGCACTCAAATCACAAGGAGATTTACGTTCTTTCTCATAGAGCGGGAGTGATCCTTTCTAGTTCTCATTTTTATTTCAAACACATACTCAGCAATGTAATGCTAAGGTACAGCACTTGTTTCAATAACACAAAAAAAATCTCAACAGAAGACCAGCTGCAGTGGCCTGCACTGTTAAGATGCTGCTGCTCCACAGGCTGAGGTCATGAGGGAGGCCTAAGTTCAATTCCAGGACTGACCGACCTGAAGGCCAAGCATGTGCTCAGCTATAATCTCAGCTATGGAGATTGAGGCACAAAATTTGTTAGCTGGAGGCGGGTCTGTGCAACACTGTAAGACCTCATCTGGAGACCAGCAGATGGCGTAATGGCTATGTTGCTGGACTCCCATGTAGCCAACCGTGATTTGAGTCCCAGACCCAGTGGCTTAAACTCACGCCGGGTGTCCCGAGAGGAGAATGGAGAAGGGATTGCTGCGTGGCCATACCCCTAGGGGGGTGATTTCTCGCTTTCTGTCTCTGTCTTTCTGGTGAGCACACATGCCCCATACCCCATAGCAAAAACCCCACAAAAAAAAAAAAAAAAAAAAAGACCTCGTCTGAAAAAGCCAAGCACAGTAGCATGTGCCTGTGTTCCCAGCTACTCAGGAGGCTGAAGTGGGAGAATCAGGACACAGCCAAGACCCCATCTGAGAAAAAAAATCTCGACTAATGTTTACACATTACACTTGTAACTATGGAGCTCCTTGCTTCTGGAGTAAAGGTACTCAGAAGAAAGCAGATGAAGACATAGTTTTAAAAATTCACAAACATGAGCAAAGAACTTTACTTAAAAACTGATGGATAGTGGTCAAAATATTGGGAAATATTATTTATGATGATCCAATAATAAATATTGTTTTTTACTTACCCCATTAAGATCTGTCTCAAATATTTTGCCAAATATTTCCAAGCAGTTATATTCTTAGTGCATCCAGCAAAATCTAAGACTCCAAACAGTACCTCCAGCCCAAGTTTATGGTGTTCTTCTTTCTCTGCAATGGTCGTATGTTTGAGTTTACATAAGGTATTAAAATGCACAAAACTAAATTGTTTGTGTGCGCATATATAGTTCACAAAATACTACCGAATTGTAAGCCTTCTGATCTGGTTAACAGTTTATCATAACAATACATTCTGTTCATTTTTTTTATGACAAATCTGAAGAATTCAAAAGCTTAGCCCATGCCAATGAGGTTACCGTGTCGAGTACTCCCTTTAAGGGTTATAGTCCTCAGTTACTACTGAAAATATTAAAGTACCTGCTTTATCTGTGCATTTCAACTGGGGATAGCTAACTCACCTCCCTTTATGAAGAAGGATGCTCTCCATACTGAAGTCTTGGAGGGATTAAAATGTGGCATACATATAAAGGGATGCCATTTCTTTCTTGCTAACTATTGCCTAAGATTCTATAATAGGAGCTGATAAACTTTTTCTGTAAATAGCCAGAAGGTAAACATTTTAAGCTTTGTGAGCTCTACAGTCTCTATCACAACTACACAGCTTTGCAGGAATAATGCAAAAGCAGCCATAAACACTACATAAAAGAATGGACTCAGGCTGGCAGGTGGCATGGTGGAAGGGGTGCTGGGCTCCCACGTGGCCGACCACAGTTCAAGTCCTGAATCTGGCGGCCTGCTTTCTCATTCCCCACCACCCCCCTGGTCCCTCTATGGTCAAATTAAAAATAAATAAATAAATAAGGTTAAATCAAATAATTCCTTAAATTCCTTTTTGTTTTTTTTTTTTCTTTTGGAGAGATTTTTGCTATAGGGCACATGCGCTCACCAGAAAGAAAGAGAGACAGAAAGCAAGAAATCACCCCCCGGGGGGATGGACACGCCACAATCCCTTCTCCTCCATTCTCCTCTCGGGATCTTGGGCATGCACGCACATGCGCCCAGAGTGAGTTTAAGCCACCGGGTCTGGGACTCAAACCAAGGTCGACTACATGAGAGTCCAGTGACATAGCCATTATGCTAACTGCTGGTCCCCCTGAATTTTTTTTTAAATGGGCTCAATTTATACAAATAGACAAGAGGTGGGTTTGGTCCCTGGACCATAGTTTACTAATTACTAGTCTATACCTTGTCTACAAAGAGAGATATAAAATGAAAACTATTTACCTGATTTTCTAAGTAATGTATGAAATTCTAACATCAGTTTATGAGATGGTACAATCTGATACAAAATCTGTAAGAAAGAAAAGTCTTGTAATTTTTGCATATCTGTAAAGACATTTCTGAAATTTTATCTTACTTTCAAATAAAGTTCTTGTCTAAATGTTCTTGGCAAATGAATCAATGATGTTAAAAAAATTTGCTTTTTCCCAGTTTCAATGTGAGTATAGAAAAGCATTCTCTATAGAACAATTTTGGGTTTTTTTTGGAGAGGTTTTTGCCATAGGGCACGTGCGCTCGCCAGACAGAGAGACAGAAAGCAAGAAATCCCCCTAGGGGGGATGGCCACGCCGCAATCCCTTCTCCTCCATTCTCCTCTCGGGATCTTGGGCATGCACGCACAAGCGCCTGCCGTGAGTTTAAGCCACTAGGTCCGGGACTCGAACCGGTCGACTACATGGGAGTCCAGCGACATAGCCATTACGCTAACTGCTGGTCCCAACAATTTTTTTTTTTTTTAAATCCCTGCTAACAAGATTGTCAGGAAAGGAGATGGTGCAGTTGTAATATGCCTAAGTCCACATGGGAAAGGTCCTGGGTTTGCTTCTGGGATGTGCCTGGGCATGCGGGACATACACAAGGATGTCTGTGATCCAGAACAGCTGAGACTAGCGGAAACTATAGCGAGGAGACCCAGTTGGGGATGCCCATATCTCCCTCACATTTTATTTCTCTCACTGAAGAAATAAAAATTAAAAATTTTAAAAATTAAAAAAAAAATTCAAATAAACAGCATAGGAAAATTGGGAGAAATTAATGGAGACTTTTTATTTGTTCCTTATACATGCTTTATACATGTCTATACTATTCACCAAACTTAAAATAATTTTTCGGGACCAGCAGTTAGCGTAATGGCTATGTTAGTGGACTCCTATGTAGCCGACCGCGGTTCGAGTCCCAGACCCAGTGGCTTAAACTCACGCCGGGCACAGGTGTGCACATGCCCAAGATCCCGAAAGGAGAATGGAGAAGGGATTGTGGTGTGGTCATTCCCCCTGCGGACTGATTTCTTGCTTTCTATCTGTCTGTCTGTCTGTCTCTCTGTCTCCCTCTCTGTCTGTCTTCCTGGCAAGTGCATACGCCCTATAGCAAAAAACCTCTCCAAAAAAAAAGACAATAATCTTATAACAGCTATGTCCATTTAAAAAATATAATTTAAAAAAAAAACATAAAATATTTTTTTTTCAAAAGCTAGGGCACAGAGTATCACATAGAAAATATATTTAGGGACCAGCAGTTAGCATAATGGCTATGTTGCTGGACTCCCACGTAGCCGACCGCAGTTTGAGTCCCAGACCCAGTGGCTTAAAACTCACGCCAGGCGCATGTGCGTGCGTGCCCAAGATCCTGAGAGAACGGAGAAGGGACTGAGGCGTGGCCACCCCCATGGGGGGTGATTTCTTGCTTTCTGTCTCTCTGTCTCTGTCTGTCTGGTGAGCGCACGCGCCTATAGCAAAAAAAACTCTCCAAAAAAAGAAAATATATTTAACATTCACTGATCAAAAGAAATCACAGAATAGTAACAAAATAAGCAAATATATATATATAAATAAATAACAAGAGGAGAGAGCAAGATTAGAGATTGTGTTCAGAAACACAGTATACTAAACGATTTTAACAGCCTTTTTATATAATAGGAACATTTTAAAGGTTTTTCTTTTTAAGAATAGGAACAATAGGGCCAGCAGGTGGTGTGGTGGTTAAGGCACTGAACTCCCCCATGGTCAACCATAGTCCAAGCTCTGAACCTGTCAGCTTGCTTTCTTACTTTCCCTCCCTCCCTCCCTCTCTCCCCCCCACCCTCGTGAACACATGTGCCCTACAGTAAATGTTAAAATAATAAATAAAATTAAATTTTAAAAGAAGTTTTTAATTTAAAAAAAAAAAAAAAAGAAGAAGGAAAACTGGGCCAGCCAGTTGCACAGTGGTCAAGGCAGGTGGATCCTACACAGTCGTCTGCAGTTTTGAGTCCCAAACCTGGTGCCTTGAAAAAACTGGACCTATATTTGTGTGTGCCTAAAACCCTGAGGAAAAAGAGAGAGAAGGTATTGCAGTGTGGCCATCTCCCCAAGGGAGTAGGAGGTGCTTTCTTGTTTTTTCTTTCTCTTTCTCTGTCTCTCATAGACAAACACATGTACCATGTAGCCGAAAAAACAGGAAAGAAAAAAGAATAGGTAGAGTTATCTTTATAAATATTCAAAATATAGGATTTAAATTAAAGCTCTACTTAATATTAAAAATTAATTCATTCTGTCTGCTTGCTGGGGTACTTTGACTTAACACTGAAATACTTTCCAACAAAATGAGAAGTGTTGTTACTTCTCAGTACAGGCTTTAAAAAAAAATAAATTAAAATCAATAATCAAGATCAATATACCATTTCATAAAACATTATTAAATAATATTATATTATCAGTTCCTATAAAAGTGACATTAGTCTCATGATTTATGGAATTTCATACATGGAGCAACTCATTTTTCTAAAACTTTATTAATAAACTATACCACATGTACTAGAAATTATACAGATCTAAGTGTGACATTTACTACTTTTTTTTACAAAGTTCAAATCAGCTCTTCAAATATTAGGGGTTCTTTTTGATTTATGTGCTTTTGCCCTGTTCTCCTAGAACTCCAATTACCAAGTACTTTGTATATTCTTTTCTGTACTTTTCCGTCATTTTGCTCTGTGCTTTTGCTTAATATTTTCTATGCAGTTCATTGATTCTTTTGTTATGTCCAATCTGCTATTAAACCCATCTATTGAGTTCTTATTCCAAATATTACATTTTTCAAAATGATAAACAGTTTCTCTAAATTCTTGTCTTGAACATAAGTGTTCAACATAGTTATTTGCTGTAACATTTTTGAAAATATTTTCAGGGACCAATCCTACAGCCTAGTAAGGAAGCGCGAATCCATATGGTCAACCATGATTTGAATCCTAGCCCTGGTGGCTTGGAAAATATGCTAGGTGTGTGTACGCACATGCCCAAAATCCCAACATGATGAAGAAATAGAGATGGGATTATGGTGTGACCATGCCCCATTGGGAGTGCGTTCTACCTCTCCCCTGTCCCTCTCTGGAAAGTGCACGTATCCTTTGACAATGAATTAAAAAAAAAAAAAATCACTAGTGAGTGATTAACACCAGAATGAAGATACCGTGTTGCTATTGTGGTTAAATATCCTTAACATTTTATCTTCCAAATGTGTAAAATGAAATCTTGGAGAATAAAATTTAAAAAGAATCTTCACAAGTATTATATTGGGACCCAGCCTATAGGCACAGTGGTTAGCAAAGTGAACTGCAGTGCTGAAAGCTGCATCGCCAACTGTGGATTTGAATCCCTGGGTTGTCGTGGAAACAGGCCAGATATACATACATGGCTTGGAAACAGACCAGATATACATACATGTGATCAAGATACTGATGAGGGCTGACTCTATGGTGCACCGTAATACGCTGCTCCAGAGAAGCCAGATCCCAGGGCTAGCAGGTGGTATGGTGGTTAAAGAGCTGGACCCCAACATGGTCTGAGTCCCAGACCTGGTGGCTTGAAAATCATGCCAGGCACATGTGAATGTGTGCCCAAAATCCCAGGAGGAGAATGAAGGAAAAGGCACTGAGGCACAGCCATCCCCCTAGGGGATGATCTCTCAACTTTCCCTCTCACTGTCTTTCTCTGGCAAGCATATGCACCCTATGGCAAAAATCTTTAAAAAATACCAAAAAAAAAACAAAAGAGGAGGAGGAGGAGGAGAAAAAGAGAGAGAGAGAGAAGCCAGGTTCCACATGGTGGTTACAATTTTAATTCCTTGCCCAGTCAGCCTGAAACATGTTGGGCATGCAACAAACTGGAGGACTGGAAAAAGGGAAATCACAGTGTGATCAGAACCTATGGAGGCTGCTGAACTTTCTCTTTCACTCACCCACTTTCACTCTTATGCATATGTATGCACTCCATTGTAAATAAAGAAAAAAGATCCTGATGAGCTAGAGGGCCAGGAAAGGGGGGGTCACAGCAGGACCCTGTCCAGGGCTCTTCTCCCTCCTCCTCTCAGTCTCATGTGCACACACACTCTCTATCATGATAAAAAAGATAAACTTTTGAAGATGTTATTATGTTATTAACTTTTATTATGTTAAGTAAATCAAAGACTATTGAAAAAATTATAAAATATAGCTCACACATCTGAAGGTTTGAAAATATCAATTTTTATGAACACAAAAACATATATTAGAACTAACTAATCTTTTAAAAGATTAGGAAAAAAATTTTATTTGTTGAGGATAAAAACGACTTTTCTTTTTCTTTCTCCTACAAAATACCAAGATTAAAAACTGACTGTGGGGGGACCAGTAGGTGGCATGGTGGTTGAGGTGTTGAATTCCTACATGGCCGGCTATGGTTCAAGTCCAGGACCTGGCAGCTTGCTTTTTCAAGTTTTTTTTTGAGTTTTTTTTTTTTTATATGGCGCATGCACTCGCCAGACAGAGACAGACAGAGATAGAAAGTGATAAATCACACCCCGGGGGGATGGCCACACTGCAATCCCTTCTCCTCCATTCTCCTCTCAGGATCTTGGGCATGCACACGCGCCCAGCATAAGTTTAAGCCACCCGGTCCAGGACTCAAACCATGGGAGTCCAGCAACATAGCCATTATGCCAACTGGTCGTCCCACTTTCTCGATTTTCTTTTCTCACTATCTTTCTCTGGTCAAATTTAAAAATAAATAATTTTAGCAAATAAAATTAA